TCAAACCCACCAGCCACTCCTCGGAAGGAAGGTTGGGCAATCCTACTTCCGTAGTGATACTGCCTCGGAAACCCAAGGAGGGGTTGCTATGAGTTGGGGCCGACTCGGCAGCAAACAACAACAACAACAACAACAGGGCAGAAAAATAGACAATAAATAAGTAACATATGAATGACATAAGGCACTCTGGTGGTGTAGTGGATAAGGCATTTGGCTGCTAACCTGAAGGTCAGCGGTTCAAACCCACCAGCTTCTCTGCAGAAGGAAGATGGGGCAATCTACTTCTGTAAAGATTTACAGCTTCAGAAACACAATGGGGGTCGCTATGAGTCAGAATCAACTCCATGGCAGTGAGTTTGTTTTTTGTTTTGTTTTATGAATGACATGATAGTGGAGAGAGCTATGAAAGAAACAGGATGGTGTGGTAGTGAGAAGTCAGGAGTTCTACTCAGATCAGGGAGCTAGAAAAAGTCTCATTGAGGATAAAACATTTGACTTGAAATTTAACTGACAAGAAGGAGCCAAGTGTGAAAAGGTCTGGGGAAGGGCATGCCAGGTGGAGAAAACAGCAGGTGCAAAGGTCCTGAGGTGGGAGAGGGGATGTGTTGGAGGACTGAAAAGTGGCCAGCGTGATTCAAGGCAGGGCAAGTAGGAGGAGATGTAGTCCAGGAAATAGGTAGGGGCCAGGCCACACAGGATACTCATGGGCCACAGTAGGGAGTTGGAGGCAGAGCCATATCCCTTCCTTCTGTCCTTAAATCTCTTATAAAGTGATTCTTTTCTGAGAAGGATCCCAGATCAACTCACAGTGAACCCTTGGAGGCAAAGAGACTCTGAGGTATAGCTGCGATTCCTGCTGCTATTGGCACTGCTTACGAGCCTGAGAAAATACTCACTGGAATAACTCCTGGAAGTTGAGCCACCCATTCTGGCTGTGCAGAGACACCAGGAGTTTGGTCTTCAAATCAGGGCAGTCTGGTGCAATGGACTCCACTGCCGGGGCCACCTCCTCACTGACCACAATGCACTTGGCCTTGGATGCTTGCAGTCGGTAGAGAATGTCTTTTGCCACCAGCTGAGTTGTTCCTGGTATGAATACGATCCCTGGAAAGGAGGGAGGGCCCCAAGTTGAACAGGGCTGTTGTCCGTTAGGGAAGGAAGAGTTTGAGGATTATGGAAAGCTTAGGCTAGTGATTGGGTAGGGAGAAGCTGTGGCACTCAGCCTTCAGCACTCCCTGTCTTAACTTCCAGGGCCATCCCATGGGATGAACCCACGGATGATCACAGGGAGATTATTAGAGTACTGACTTCAGAGTCCGACAGACACCAGGTTTAATCCTGACCTTGCCACTTACTAGCCTTGTGATCTTAAGCACGTTACTTGATCTCTCTGTCCCTTCATTTCCTTATCCTTAAAACAAGGATAATAATACCTATCTCATGTGTAAAATGTCATATAGTAGCATTATAAAGGTGGGCAATTATTATGTAACATTTGAATCATTATTCTCTAACATTTAAATAGCACTTGATAGCTTATAACACATTTTCATGAGAACGTTAGCTATCTCATTGAATTCTCTGAACAAGTAGTCTCCAAAATGAGTTTTACAAGACAATCCATTGGGAATGAGATAAGAAAATACTAGAATTAAAACAACAAAAAAAATTGAGATATTAGAAATCTTTTTATATTCTTATCTAATTATTTTCATATATATTTTATAATATGCATTATGTATTAGAGTAGTAGAACAGTGTAAGTAATGATACATATATTGGAGGGTATGTGCCCTGGTAAGGATCCTTGGTGGCACAGTGGTTAAGTGCTGGGCTGCGAACCAAAAGGTCATCAGTTTGAACCTACCAGCTGCTCCACAAGAAAAAGATGTGGCAGTCTGCTTCTGTAAAGATTTACAACTTTGGGAACCCCCCTCAAAAAAAACAAAACCAAACCCACTGCCATCAAATTGATTCTGACTCATAGCAGCCCCCACTGGGTTTTCAAGGAGGTAAATCTTTACAGAAGTAGATTATCTCATTTTCCTTCCATGGAACAGCTGGTGGGTTTGAACTGCCAACCTTCTGCTTAGCAGTGAGTTCCCTGAAGTTAGCAGCATTGCATTTCTAGGGAGACTTTATTTTATTAGATATAGTTTAAAAGTTGTGGCATATCATTATCTTTTTAGGAAATGATTAAGTATGTGATGATTAGGAAGTTGATTAAGGGAACACCTTAGAGGTACTCAGAACATTCAATTAATATAAAAATATAAGATGACTTTTTGTTTTTTTTTGTAGACCACTTGTTCTTAACAGCTCAGAAATCATTAGAATTCTTAGTGGATTGTGACATGAATGTGTTCCATGGATAAATCACTTGGTGATAATGAAGGAAAAGTAAATTATTTTGCTGTGTGGTGTGGTACAAGCAACCACAACATTGACACAGAAGACTCATTCCCTGTGAGTTAGAAACAATCTCCAGCTGTTTGCTCGATGCTTGATTAACTGAATGTTTTCAACCTTTCAGCTTTGTGCTCATTTTCGATTGGCATTTTGCATATTGTATAAGTTACGTTAAGTGTCAATAAATATTTTTTTTGTGTGACAAGTAAACTACCCTTATTCTCCTCCCAATCGGTTTCACATTTGCAACTTCTTTTTTATAATGAATGCAAAAAGAATTTTACATATTGCTGTTTTTACTTGATATTGGTAATAAGAGCATTTTTCAACATCGATACAAAATCTTTGTAATTATCCTTCTAATGATATTCCATGATTATTTTGCGCCATCATCTGAGGCACTATGCTATCACTTAGCAGTAAACACACCTCAGTTAAACATTTAATCTCAGCTACCAAAAAACCAAACCAAACTCATTGCTGTCAAGTTGATCCCCACTCATAGCGACCCCTCCTTTGGTTTCCACGGCAGTATCACTATGAAAGTAGATTGCCCAGTCTTCCTTCTGAGGAGTGGCTGGTGGGTTTGAACCACCAGCTTTCTTGTTAGCAGTCAAATGCCTTAGGCACTATGCCACCAGAGTCTCAGCTAAGTTATAGTTTATTTAACCATTTCTATACGCTGTTTCCAATAGTTTACCATCATAAATGACAGTGCAACAAACAGCTTTGTATTTTCTACAGTAGTATAACCTTTGGTGTTATTTACTATTAGTGATTTATATACATTTAGTCATGTTCTAGAGCAGGGATCAGCAAACTTTTTCTGTAAAGGGTCAGAAAATGAACATTTTAGGTTTTGAGGGCCACATGATCTCTGTCCCAATTAGCAACTCTGCCTTTATAGAGTGAAACAGCCATAGACAATACATAAACAAGTAGGTGTGGCTGTGTTCCTTTTAAACTTTCTTTACAAAAACAGATGGCCAGCCTGGTTTGCCAACCCCTGTCCTAGGAAGAGGAGCCCTCGTGCTGCAGGGTTAAAGTGCTTGGCTGCTAACTGAAAGGTTGGTGATTTGAACCCACCAGCTACTCTGCTGGAGAAAGATATGGCAGTCTCCTTCTGCAAAGATTTGCAGCCTTGGAAATCCTATGGGGTAGTTCTACCCTGTCCTATGGGGTTGCTATGAGTCAGAACTGACTCAACGGCAATGGGTGTTTGGTGTGTGGGGTGTGTTTCCTAGGGAGAAGGAGCCCTGGTGTCATACAGGCTGCTAAACTAATGCTCGGGGTTCAAACCCACTATCTGCCCCATGGGAGAAAGATGTGATAGTCTGTTTCTGTAAAGCTTAAAGCCTTTGAGACCCTATGGGGCAGTTCCACTTTGTCCTATAGGTTGTTATGAGTCAGAATCAACTCAATGGCAATAAGTGTGGTTTGGTCCTAGAGAGGAAAAGAATTCTGCTGGAATTTTTATTTAGAGCTCATTATAAATTACTGCATTGGGATAAAATGTCTCATTGAACCACATTAACCTGTTTGGAAACAGGTGGAGATTTTCCAACTGAGGTATACATCATATTCTTATGAGTCCATGCATTCTGAAAGACCTCTTCCTTTTGTATTTTCATATTAATGAGAATTTAAATATATTCAATACAAGGAAATTCTGGATCAACTAGATAAGTACATCAAAATCCAGCACTGCAAGTAGGCATCATATTTGGTTTTAGAGGGCTTTGGGCTCAAATCCCAATTACATAGCTTTCTAGCTGTGTGACTTTGAGTAAGCTGCTTAACCTCTCTGAGCCTTAGTTTCCTCTCCTGCAAATGGGTACCACAATACCTGCCTCTTAAAGGAGTTGTGTCATGACTGCATTATTACATCATTCTTACTATTAATTTCAACTCTTATTTTCCTGTCCTCTGTAAGGACAGAATAATCTTGATTTCAGTCTTTCTGTGTTTCTGCATGATTTAGAAATGTTTGATACTGACACCGACCTGTTCGCATACAAGCCACATATATGAGCCACCACTCTGGGATCCGGGGAAGAATCACAGCCACTCGGTCTCCTCTCTGCAGGCCACAGGGCTTGGTGAGCACATTGGCAGCCTTTCGGGACAAGGAGCTCAGTTCTCCAAAGTTCCATTTCACCTCATCCCCTTTGCCGCTCACCCACCACAGGGCTGGGTTGGCAGGTCTCTCTCCTGTCTGGACAGGGCCACATAGGAAAGAGAAGGGAGGCTCATATGGCTGGTGATCAAGTAGCAAGGGGATCCTTCCTTACTCCCACTCCATACTCACTGCCTTGGATTCTGGGCACTCAGTGTGTCTTTGGGGGAACTATTCTCTCCTACTGAGGGCAGGCTTGGTGAGACAACCCATCAGGCTGCTCATCCTTCCCTGACCATGGGTGGGCATGGGACCTTCTCTCCCTGGACTTTGAGTTACCTGAGGGGAACCAAAAGCTAGAAATGGTTGGCACAAGAAACTGTCTATTGGATCCTGGTGTGTATGGACCCCAAGGGAGTTGTCCTGGTTTCTGTCCTTTCCCAGAATAACTCATCAGACTACCACCCAATTCCTCAGCTCTCCTATATGTCACTGCAATAAATTCCTTTCTCACCTAAATTAGAGTCTATTCCATTCACATGCGTTAATGGATGTACTGGGGTTGACTAGCACCCTGACATCCATTTGTACCAAAAATGCTGAGATGTGGGCTTCCCAGGGAACAAGGATTGGGGTAGCAGGCCACGGAGTCTTCAAAGTGAGTCATACTGCAAGTACTCTTGGCTTTATGGAAAACTGATCACTCATCATCCCTCCTTCTTCTGTTTGGAATGCTGGAGAAGCTTGCCCAGTGGTAAAATACTTGAAAGCCCAAATGACATTTCACCTCCTCTGTGAAGCTATTCTTAGTCTCTTCTCCTACTGGCATCTCTGTGTCCCTGCAGCATTGTGTTCATACTCTAGGAGACTCCATTACCTATTACAGGCATGTTTTCACCTTACAAGTATAAACTCCCACATGATCAGGGACTCTGTTCAAGCGCCTTTGGAGCTGC